TACCTTATTAAGATTTTCCAGATTCAGTCGTACATTATCGATTCAAGCAGCCTATTTCACAGTCATTACAAGTCTATTTTCATTAATAACCATGCAAAATTGACAATTATAAGAAATATTGAGGATTAAATGGAAAATTGTCATAAATTTCATCAATAATCACGAGAACTTCTGTCTTATTTATTTATTAATTCTCTCATTGGCATCTTATTGAATGTCAAGAATAGCTTTCTTACAAAAGAATGCGCAATTTTAGCTTCCGCCTACACACGGTCTGTCACCTTATGATTGACTTCTATATTATAAGCAAATTGATTTCTTTTTTTGTAGATGATTTCTTATTATTTGCTTGTTCATGTGATTATTTCAATTAAACAAAATGAAAACTGGGATGATCACTTTTAGCCACTTCTATTTTAAGCAAGGTAGGTTATTGCGGAAACTTTTTTCATTCACATTTTTTTACGTATCTTATTTTTCACATATGGATTTATGCGATTCAGCAAAATGATTTTATATTCGCAGAATATTTGAAGAATCTTAGTCAGTTCTTGTTCTTTTATTTTCAACCATAACCTAGTCACCTAAATCTATCTTCCCGTATTCATTCACTTTTCAATTGTTCTCATTTCATCTTGTGATTTACTGGCTAATTTTATTTGCGCTTCTATTTTTATGCATTAAAATTTTAGCATCGTTATGGAATGAATTTTTTAATTGTCATTATCAAGCGTGGGTTTATATTGGAACAAAACAATTCGATCTTTGGACTGGTTTCTAGGGCTACCAGAAGCAACATACAGTAGCGAGTAAAAGTAATTGGCCACTCACATTTTCTGCTCTATCTTTTGATTGGAACCACGAAAAGTGATGAAATTTTCACCAATTATTCCATTTTTTATTACTAATACACTAATATAAGTCTTAATTCATAATTCATTGAATTTTGTACAGTTTTCCCATAAGGGAGGTTTTTGAGAGAGCAAAAGTAATTGGCCACTTTATAGATTACAATTGTTCAAAGGTAATCATAGAATTGAATATTTATTTAAACTTATTCTGTTAAAATGAACAATTTATAAATTTTAGAAATGATTTTCTTCAATATTCAACATTTAGTTCCCTTAAAAATCATGGTGAAATAGAGTATGTCCAAAATAGAGGTTTTTATGCATTTTTTTAATTCCACATTACTTAAATTAAAAATAAAGCTAAGATTTACATTTTACTCATCAATACCTTCATTTTGATATACAATATGCCATACTTTCCTTCTATTTCTCTCTTATAAATCATATTTAATCAGTACAGCATGTACAATTTGCAGGGAAACTGACATTTGTAGGTTCCTAAAACCTTATAACAGCTTCCAAAAATTATGTTATGCACATATTTCTATAGATTATAGTCTGCCAATCATTTTGATATATCATACATGCATATTCATAAGCTGGTTTAACAGTAAAAGATGGCTAAAGTTGAAGTTGTTACAAAATCATCGAATTTCTTAAAGTTTTCATACAAACTTTTAAAAATTGATCTGATCACTTTTTTGACTTTGCAAAACTGCTGAGTCTGCTTATGAATATGCATGTATGATATATCAAAATGATTGGCAGACTATAATCTATAGAAATATGTGCATAACATAATTTTTGGAAGCTGTTATAAGGTTTTAGGAACCTACAAATGTCAGTTTCCCTGCAAATTGTACATGCTGTACTGATTAAATATGATTTATAAGAGAGAAATAGAAGGAAAGTATGGCATATTGTATATCAAAATGAAGGTATTGATGAGTAGAATGTAAATCTTAGCTTTATTTTTAATTTAAGTAATGTGGAATTTAAAAAATGCATAAAAACCTCTATTTTGGACATACTCTATTTCACCATGATTTTTAAGGGAACTAAATGTTGAATATTGAAGAAAATCATTTCTAAAATTTATAAATTGTTCATTTTAACAGAATAAGTTTAAATAAATATTCAATTCTATGATTACCTTTGAACAATTGTAATCTATAAAGTGGCCAATTACTTTTGCTCTCTCAAAAACCTCCCTTATGGGAAAACTGTACAAAATTCAATGAATTATGAATTAAGACTTATATTAGTGTATTAGTAATAAAAAATGGAATAATTGGTGAAAATTTCATCACTTTTCGTGGTTCCAATCAAAAGATAGAGCAGAAAATGTGAGTGGCCAATTACTTTTACTCGCTACTGTACCTACGACAAAGTCTCTTTTTCTTTATACCCCACATTTATAGATTTTGACTCTAGAAAAGGTTGATTCAGGTTGCCATAAAAACCGACCCTTTACCTACGACACTGATCTAACCTAAAATTTGGAAATCTTTAGAATAGTTCATGAAATTCGCAAAAAAACTATAAAACTTATCAAATGCGCTTTCAAAATTACCCAATTTCCAACTAGTTCTAAAAATATCACTCTATAAATAAATTTATAGCATTACAAAATGTATTCAATTGTGATTTTCATTTAATTCACCGAATGAACTTTACATGCTATTAACGGGCGTATCATGAACACGAAAAGCAGGCTACAACTCAATTTGCCGGAGCTTGGCCTTGACGGAGCACATGATTTGCTCATTTTTTTGATCTCTCATCTTCAATTATCTAGTTTATAGCTATCGGCAAAATGCAATCTTTTTTTTCTTCTTTGTGATATTTTGCGGCGTACTTTGCATGTTAATTGCTAATAGAATAAATAACTTTTTTTGTGTATACGGAGTATGTGAAATATTTCCGGAATCATCATGCAATTTAGCCATAAAAGGAAAATTTTATGATCAGTTCATCGCGAGATTAAAAAACAAACAAATTGAATTTGTGAGTCGAGAGAATTCTCAAAAGGTTGTTGTTATTGGTTATTAAACATTATTTTTTATTGTGTAGGTTGCACAACTCTCAATTAGAACTTGATCGACAAGTTTTCTACGTTTCTATGGCATGGCTACTTATTGCCATTTAATCTTAATTCCATTATACATTTTATTACTTTTTATTAAAGTAAAATAATAATCTTGCGAATTGAGATAAAAAGTAGCAGCAAGTTAACTCGATTTCCCCAAAGAATGCTCACTTTACTTGACAAAAATAAAGTGATTCTCATGAATTTCAGTCGTAATTTACATAAACCTTAATTGCCGTTGAGATTTCGTTGCGAGAAATTCTTTTTATGGCCATAAAAGAAGCATTTTTATTAATATTGTTAGGATATGATATTAACTGCCCGAGCTACACTATGAAATTATGAATGGACTGTGATCGACTAATCATAAGTTCCATTAATACAAAATTTGCGACATATCTAGTTTCCACACGTATCAGATTTTTCATTTTTTGTTTTAAAAGTGTTAAAAAAATTATGGAATTTAATTTCTGTCAAGCTTAACAACGTAAAATATAAAGTTAATGAAATTTCACAGCATGACAGCTATCCGTAAGTACTTTAGTTCATAAACTATCATAACCCACAATGACTGATTGAATCGCTCGGTCTATGGCGCTTCGTTCTTAAAACACACAAAAAATTGCGTTGGTGCCTTTTCTGTTTTACTTTGTTGTTTCGTCGTCTTTACAGTCCTGATACAATCGACATCATTTGTTTTTAGTCCGAAAATTGTCATTTGAAGTGGATTTAAATAAGTAGGTACGCAAATTAATTTGGACATGAAATGATTTGTTAATGAAAGGTATTCGATTGTTTTATCCATTATTGTCTGGTGAGTAGTGAATTGCAAATATTTTTAAAACTGTCATGGTCCCAGCGATGGTAAGTTTTGAATTGAGGACTAAGAATTTTTTATGACTTTATACTTAACGACTTTCTTATCACTTTGCTTAATTAGCTGAATAATTTTTCACGTGTGTTTTGAGCTATTTATTGCTCTACATTAACGATATCTTATCTTAATGACTTGATTGGATTGTTCAGCTGTGGATTTGGATAGTCAATATATTCGCAGGTTCATTAATTTTAATTCATAAAGTTTTTTATGCATATTTAAGCCGTAATTTGCAAAATTTCAATATTTTATTGCTTTTCTGTTGGAATTATTTGTATTTCATATTTTATTGATTATCAGATTGTTTTTAATGACTTATTATATTGTAATAATTTACATGCGACACTAAACTAAAGTTTTATTGACACTCAAGGTTGTTTATGAAACTTTTTGTCCTAAATTTCTCTCTTTTTGGCAAGAAATGAATCGAATTGAGAGATATTCTTAAATTTTTTTGTTATTTAAGGACAAATAATGACTATTTGAATAGTTTAAGTATTCAAAATAATGTAATGAGTTCTAATAATTAAGTTAAAGTTAAATTTGCAGCCAATTTTTTGATTTACGATTTCAAATAAGCAATAAACAAAAAAGGTGTGCAACTATGATTAGCAATAAAAGTTTTAAAAACTATTTAACTTTTACAATTTTTTTTGTTCTTTTCAGGAAACTTGTCATCAAATTACTCAAAAATTATCAGAATTTTCTCAACATGAGTCATTTAAAAACTATTATTTTGTGTTTTAAATTAAATTTTCAAATGCATGACTCAAACCAAACAATTAAAAAATAAATTAATGCATTGTCATATTCTAAGAAATTTCCAACACTTGACATCAAACGTTCTGTCCACTCCAACATGTTAAAATTCAAACCACCTCGTTTGTTTTGATTGAATTCTTTAGCACTGACATTGATAGCAAATAAATCTTATTCTGTTCAGTTTCTTCATTTTAACGACATCATCTTAAGACATTTTAAATAATTGCTTTATTTTCGCTGCTGTTCATCTAGCAAAGCATTCATTAATTTAGTGTTTGAACAGACTATCCAAAAAGAACTTATCGATCTAACTCTTTGATGATTATTTTGAATATTTACACATTTTAATGCCCACGATAGAGATTGAACAAAGAACAAGAATAAAAGACGTAGCTTAGACACACATAAGAGTAAAAGAGTCGTTCACATTCCATAACAGGAAATTGATTCATTTTTTTGGGATATTTTTTTCGTTCATAAAAGCACAAAAAAAGTCACTCAATAATCACTTTGTCTGCTTGTTTTTTGTGGTGCTAAGCTTGTTATTCTACAAAAGAGAGAAATATGAAGAAAAAAAAATCCATGTGCTAATGATGACTGCAAAATATGAATATTCGGTAGGAACAAAAAGCAAGTATTAATGTTTTACTTTGTTAAATATTTACACGAAAAAATATTTCATGTTTGAACAGAGAATATAATGGGGGAGTTCATAAATGACGTCTGGTATTTAGCAGACCCGACTCACTCGTCCTAGGAACTGGATCCATTTAAAAAATTATTTGAATGACAAAATTAAGATTTTAGAGTTAAATAACTCCAAATTTTGACAGACGTAATTTATGAACGACCCTATTAGCTGACATCACAGCGTCGCCTCCCTTTGTAAAACATTTTGCAATGTATTCATTATCTTATTATATTGTAAAACAGATGAAGATTTATTGCAATCATTTATTAAGTTATTCTTATTTTGCATTCATCTGAATATGCGAAGAATTCACCTGAGAATAATTGCCTTGAACTTTTTTTTTACAGACATTTGTTTTTCTTTTCCTTTAACCAAAACTGCTTCCTGATCGATTGAGACATAGAAAGTCATAGCATGAATCGATTTTATTCCATACATGGTAAAATGAAGGTCCTCAACTTGAAAATTTCTTTCATTCAATGTGTTTTGCGTTTAATTATAAGCTCCAACACAAACAAATGGATTTGAAACTTTGGAATTTATTGAAGATAATTTAGTGCCTGAAGCTTATTGCAATTTCATGATTATCATCGAGATTTTGTAATTTGATACAATTGAATTATTTTATTAGATTGAGAAAACAAGTCAATAAAGTATTGGATAATTAGCTGTGAATAAATTCAGGAATTGATGTTTTCATCATGACTTCCTTCATTTCTATGCAATCACTAATTGGATGTGGTTTTAATCGAATAAGGTGATGTAGTAATAAGGACTTTCATTAGATTGTTCTGAGGTTTTCTAGATTAAATCTGATCTTCAGGCTATTTTTACTTATTTGTGAACTTTGTGATGGACATATTCAGTCATCAACATAGTCTAAATCGTTCCTAATCCTCTGCTACGGACAACAATAAGAATTCATCTAAACTGCACAGATCACGTCATATATCTCAAAATTCTACACAAACAGTCAACAACTTTGCAAAAATTTACATTTCTCGACTCAAAAAGTTATGACAAAATACTCATGTCGACTGTGGAGCTTGGGTGATAAAACTAACAGTGTAAGTCAATAAAGTTCAAATTTGAATTGCAAATTATATAAAAGCAGTCATATAGCTGAGAAACATTCGATCATTAATCGGATATGATCAAGAAGAACTTGATTAATGAAGCATCGAGAAATGAAGATTTTTGATGGATAAAAATATATTTTTTGAGCCTATTTGAGGTTCATTTGTGGTTTAAATTTGATTTCTAATAGGATGTAGGTATGCTGATCCGAACTTTGAAAGATGAAATTTTTATTTCGTGCATTCAGTTTTTATGTGAGGACTTCCCATAAAACTTCATCATCAGTCACTTATCATCCTCCCAACTGTCGAACTAGTCAGACTCACAATCAAACCACGATTCTTTTTAAGCTATATGATAATGCGATTTAGTAAGTTTTTATTTGCACAATGCTCATTACCACTTATATAATAATAAATTAGCAAAAGTTTACGCATGAAAGGCACTTAACACTTCTTCAATATTAAAAAATTGTCTATGATCAATGGCCCAACAATCACACATCAATGATGCAATCTCATATTTCACTCTGTATCTTTTTCGAATCGACCATTCATCTTTCTAGTTTTTATTACAGCAATCGGCACTAATGTTTTGTTTGAATTGATTGAGGCTTTTTGTTTCACTATTTTCTGTCACCCTTGGAGAAATTTTGTAAGATTTTGAATGTTAAGATTTGAAGACAGATTTATAGATTATTTTAAATAAATGAGGATTTGAAGTTGAAGCAATATATGTAAAAGATTGTTAATAAACAATTTCCTGTTTTTTGGTTTGGGGGGGGGGGGGGGGTTGGGTTAAAAACAAAATTAAGGACTGCTGTGCATGGTTTCCCTTTGACTAAAGTAAATGTTGATCTAGCTCAACCAGCTTGATTTAATTTGGATAACAAAGTTATTAGTTTCATCAAAAATGCTGCATCAACCTTCAAACTTTTGTAATAAATTAGCAATCTTGTGTTAATTTGTGTCGACAGCCTTAATCACTTATCACATTTTTTAAAATTTAAATAAATCTGCTTACACAAACAGTCAGAGCGATACAAATGAGCATAAGCAACTACATGAAATCCATTAGGAGCCCATAATTATTCCAAACTCGGTGTGCCTTCTAAATGCCTGCTATATGAAGCCTGAACATCCCAGAAACATTTCAACGACGCGTAGAAAGAAAATTTCAACGATTTTGTGCGACATGTTTATGGTTTCAATCACCTCAATTTCTTAATTCCCTTAATCGATCCACATATCTCTCACTAATTTCATAAGTTTTATAAAGTTGTTTCATTTGAATAGCGGAATTATAAAAAAAAGCTCAATTTGTTGAACTTCATTTGCATAATACAGTGTGAAAACCTGAATATTTTTTTTTCTTTTGCTCAATACTCAATCTCGTAAGTTATTGCTTCATTTATTTCCAATCACAACAAAATTGTTAACTAGAATTAATTTGTTAACTCACCCAAGAGTTGGTTCCTCTGAGCGTAATCGTCTTGCCGGTGAGTGTGACTGGTTGTAATAATTTTTTTGCTTAACAATTTCACTTTCGCGTGGTGCTGGCGATCCATTTGCCACAAATTTATTTTCCTTTCCGAAAAGGGATCCACCGTAAGGATTCTCACCCAAATAATAGCTCTTTTTTGGACTAGTTATCACTGTCTTTTTCTGATGGTGTGTTGTCACTGTTCGTTCACTTGTTGCTGGCATCTCGTTATCTGTTGTCGATGAACCACTACGTTCGTTACGTTCTACTGTTCGTTCACGTCTGCCGTTTGTTGATGCTGAAAAAAATTTATTCATTTATTTTTCGTGAGTTTTAATTTTTTTTCTCATAAAAGCACATGTGGAGATGTTTTGCGAATAAAGTGAGAGACGATTTGCTTGACGAGAGAATATGAGAGCTTGTTGGATATATTTTAATTCTGCACATTCTCTAATGTCTCAGCTGATTTATTTGGAGAAAATAAAAGAAGATTTTATTGTTTTGTTTTTGATTCTTTTAGAGAGCTTTTAGTGACGTCATGACTATTAGAAATATTGAAAGCAAAGAAAGAAAATAAAAGATTTCAATGCGTGGATAACAAAGTTATTTGGATATAAGAATCAACCAGAAGTAATGATATAAATTGGGGGAGGGGGCTTATTCCTTTTTCGATATTAAATACTTAAGTCCAAACTACTATTTAATTTTAAGTACCACCGCTGAAAATTAATAAAATCTCCAACAAATCCAACAGCTTTAAAATAAATCCAGCAATTAAATCCATCGCCAATCCCTGCTTCTCTCTCAATTCCAAGTAAAAACGTCATGAAACTTAACAAAATTCCCATTATGAATCACGCATGTATTTGCGAAATCTCATAAAAATAATTATTTCTCCTCTCTCATTCTCTCGTCTTCTCAATTCATACAAATACAGCCAAACATCCAAAAAAAAATCAAATTAACAACTTGCTTACCTTGCGTTGACGTTGACGGTGCACGTTTATATCCATTCGTAATATGAGAATCAACATAATCATTACGCTGATAGGATGATGAAGTTAATGGCAAATTCGAAACAGACCTGTGTCGTAACATGGGTAATGGAGATGGCGATCGTTTTGAGGATGATGTTGGCGGAGTTTTTGCTTTGAGTTTTCGTTCAGCACTTGCAGATCGAATTTTACCAACCAATTTCCTGATAGAATTTCCAATTGCATTACCAACGGACTTCTTTTTCGGTGGCAATGTTTGTGTCTGCATTGATCTCGAAACGGACGGAGGTGAACTAAAGCGTGTCTTTTGATAAGATTTACGGTCACTATAGACATGATGAATCGGGGGCAAAGGTGATACCGAACGACTTCGTGGTGGTGGAGAATAATCAATCGGTGGATCACGTCTTGGCTTTGCCGGTGAATTTGCATAATCAACACTATTCTTTATTGGTGATCTCATCTTACGTTCCATTGCTTTTTTTCTTTGTGGAACAGCCGGTGGTGATTGATTTAATTCATCCGATTCAAAATCATTTGTTGGTGTTGGTGACCTTATGCCACTATCAGGTGTCTTGGTCATAATTGGTGATCTGGGTCGTCTTGGTGATCGTGGTGTTGTAAAGTATGTTGATGATGAAACATATGCCGAGTCATCGCGTTGAATTGATGTTTGTTTAACATCATCATGGCCAAATGAATCTTCACGATGCGCTGGTGAGCGCAAGTCTTCTTTTGAGTCTCGAAATCCTGAATCCTCACGATGTAAATATCCATTTGTTGATGTCTTTTTTGTCTTTATTGGCACTGCATAATCATCATTTGTATATTTACGTGGCACTCTCAATTCCGTTCGCGATCCACTCAAATATCCCAAATCTTCTTTTTGGGTCTTCAATAAATCATCACGCGACGACGATTTATATTTCATTATTTTCGGATCATTAAGTTTATTGCCGCTATTACCATTCAATATTGCTGCTGTCGAAGGCACATTTCTTATGTCATTATGTGATGATCCTTGACTGAGTTTAATCATTCTCTGCTTTCTCTCTAAAGTTCCACTCAGTTCATCTTGAAATGCTTTCGAACTTAACGGATGTGCCTTTATCGGTCGAGGTGTCTCTTTTCTTTCAGACCAATCGCTAATACCCTGAAAAAATGTCTTTTTATTCGATGATGACTGTAATTGTGGTGCTGGTTCACGCTCTGGCATGTAAACTTTCGACGGTGCAGATAATTTATTAGGATACAAGTCATTATCGAGTGCAGAATTCGATTGACGGTGCGCAGATGTGGTGATTTTTTGATTACTAATATTATTCGTTAGACTGCTACTGCTACTCGTATGTGTGACATTATGATGATGATTATTATTATTAACATTATTATTTGACTTAATTGTGACATTAAAGTAAGTCTTTTTAGTTGGCTCTACAGCTACGTCGGAAAATGAATCATCTCTGGAATCCTTTGATGTAGATTCACTACCAAAATGACTATCAAGCCATTTATACGTCTCCTTTCGTCTCGTCTCTTCCTCACGATCAAAGTCCAGAGGTCGATTTGTCAAAGCGTCTTTGCGTTCTGCAGATTCTTTACCAAAGGCATGGATATGAACATAAAATTTATACATAAAAAAAGACGGAAATGCATTAAAATTAACTCTTTTTATTTATAGACGCATATCATATAAAACTCACCTCTCACTGCTTTCTGGAATTGACGTCGATTCTTCTTGACACGATCCGACAGACTATCCCAATCGGTTTCATCTTCTTTGGAACCATCGCGTTCCATAAATTCATTTTCTTTTGCGTATCTCATCTCTTTGGCTATGACTTTACCATCAGACACATATTCAACTTCCTGCTCGTCACGTTCTTTTACGAAGCGTTGTGATGATTCCTGTGTGAAATGAGATGATGTAAAATATTATTACAAGACAGAACCGAGGGTGCGAGACTTTTTATTGGAATTTAATTTAATATTTTTTTTTATTTTCAATAATTATTTCCTTAATAGTTTTCACGAAGCAAGTCTGATTCCAATATGAAGTGACCCACCCTTTCCTATACATTTTTGCTTTATAGATTGAAAGTAATAAGATAAACAACTCATGTCATAAATTGCATGAAATATAATTGGATTAAAAACTCCACATCTACTCACTTTGTGCTTTAAAATTTTCTCCTGACTTCCAGTTGATTGATTATCACCATCTGGTAAATCTTTATCGATTATATCTTCATGCTCTGTCGTTTTCTTCTTCTCCGTAACTAATGTACCATCAGATTGTCTAATGCATTTCAATTCAGTGTCTTCTGTATCGATAGTTGTTTGTTTGTTGACGGTTTGCTTTACTATTTTTGGACCCGACGGTACGAGTTGTAATTTTGATTCTCGCGAAAGAAGGATTTTCTCGATATTTTCACTTCCACTGTTTACGGCGTTTACATAAGCCTGAAATGAGTGAATGGATGGACATTGATTAGTATTTCTAGTTTTAATGGGAATTTTTTTTGTAATTAATTTTTTTTTAGATTGTTGATTATTGAATGGCGTACAATAAGATGTTCAGTTGCATGTCATGTAACATAGCTATTTAGAAAACTATCCAGTAATTTTACAATTGCACATACATGATATGAAATCATTGACTTTGTCTCTGTAACGACTTAATAATAAGAGCAAATACACATCATTCCAAAAGGCACATGCCACACACGATTTTTTGCCTCATAAAGAATGCTGCAACATTGTCTCCTAATTTCATAAATAGCTTTGCATCATTATAGAATTTATCTTCTTAAATCTTTTAATACAGCATCGAATGATAAAGGTAGCTTATAAGATTTATGTAAAACCATATCAAAAAATTCGTGATCATATGCGGAAATACTTCTAAGAGCAAGCTTAGTGTATCTCATGTAAGTTGCATGCTAAAGCCTTTCATTTTGACTACATTGTAATACGGGTTATAAACATACACAGTTTGCCATATTTATGAACAAGTTTATTTAAAAATTATTAACTGAATTAACAGCCTGATCATTCCTATAAATGCAGAAAATACGTCGATTAATCTAATTTTAAATTCACATTTGCAGCCGCGATGATCAGTTGAATGAAAATTTGTTGTGACAATAAAAATGAAATAAATCTCATTGTGATGACAAATAATTCACTGGATTTTTCCTCAACTGCGATTTCACAATGAGCTTGTCATGAACACAATCAGTTTCTCGATCTCGGGGCTCAATGGTAGTAAAAGTTTCTTTTAAAATATTGTTATGAGATATACAAAACTTTCTTCATATGTTCGATGTACGTTTTATGTTCATGTTTTATGGGATTTTAAGCAGATTTTGCTGTGCTAGAATATTGTTGATGGTTGAGCAGACGAAATGACTCATTGGGAAGGTGAACTCATACAAATATTCAGATCAGGATTGTTGAGCTGCCTTAAATGTGAGTTGGGCAATAAAAGTGTAAAAATATGAATCTTTTAAGGGACATCCCCATCCTTGCATCTGAGAATCAACTAAATTTGATTCAATATCAATCATAAGATACAAAACTAAAGCTTTCCACATCAATGCCAAAGAAATGCGCATCAAATCAAGTTCAACATTCATCAGAGACTTTCACACTGCATACATTTAATCCTATTGAATTGAATGGTTGAGCTTTTGAGTACTCTTTTCGATTTTAAGATTTCCATTAATAATATTTACTATTATTGCATGATTTCATTTCAGAAAGCAATAAAAAGGCATTAGTTTATGATGTTTATTTCTAATGAGATTCAAACATTCATTAATAAATCATAAATATGTACATAGAAATGAAAAATTTCTTTGCTTTTTGTGTGATTCGATCAAGGTTTAAAAGTGTCGATCTTCACATCATCAAATCACATCATCAATATCTTTCAAATCTGTTCGTATTTTCTCTTTGCTTCTTATTATCCTCCAGCTGCGACAATCGACATTAAGTAGTTCTCATAAGGCGACTAATTGACAATATACAGTATCAATTAGAAATGAGATAATTGGTGCCGCTTAAGATTCTCCCATTTTACCTTCATCGACATCATGATTGCCTTTATGCATTTGAATTATTATAGTGAATAAAATTTATTTTCGCCTCAGTGCAATACTCATTAATCTCTCTATGCTGTTCTATATCGACATGCATTTATCTTTCAAATTGAAAGAGGAAATAATCGATTCGTTCTATCATAAATTCTTTCTTAATTTTTTTTCCTTCATTTTTCACATTAAGCAAAAACAAAATGAACTTTACGAAATTATTGTGCTGCTGATAAAGCAATTATTGACTCCATGCCCTAAATTAATAATGAATTTAGAAAGAAATTAAAGACTTTTAAAATTGATCTTAAGTCGTTCCATTTTCTTAATCCTATCCATTAATTTGCTTCTAATGAAGAAATAAATGATGGGCTTGGTGGAACTTTTGCTGTTGGGAATGTGAAAGGTATAAAGGCACAGAATGTTCATGGTTTTTGTAATTGAAGTTGACATTGAGTGTATTCAATAGAAGAAAATTTGTAACGGATTTTTGAAGAATTTAATTTTTTGTGTACGCCATTTTGTGTCGTTTTGAAAAGTTTTTTGTAGATTCTGGTCTCCCTGCCTTTTTGAATTTACAAATGTTCATGAAAATATGTCCAAAAATATGGCAAAGACATTAAACGAAAGATTCTCTTGCCTAAAGCATTCAATAATTGAGAAATCATAAGAATTTGTTTTCCTTTCAAGAACCCATTGCTCCCAGCTCTCAATTCAATAAAAAAGTCTATTCTCTTCCTTCATCTCCGTGAAATTCCAAACAAAAAAAAAAAAATTAAACCTATTGCATAATATACTATTACTTGCTCTTTTTCCAATTCATTTCATTGTATCATCATCAATTTTCCACTCATGCAATTGCCAGCAGAAAATGAGAAAAGAAAAAAAGAAAGAAGAAAGGGCATGTTGAGGCATCGAATTGAACAACAATTGTTAAATGCTGTGCATATAGTGAACACAAAAAAAAAATCTGAGAGAATAACAGCAAAGTTAAGCGCGTAAAAGATCACTGGTTAACATCTTGTGAAGCAGAACGAAGAGAGACTGTTTTAACGGCAGTGAACCACCTGACAATAATAAAATAAACCATCATCATGAAACATTTCAATGGGACATTAAACTTTCATTTCATTGGCAATAAATAGGAATTCGCGAGCAGTCGTCGATTATTGTTTGAACAAAAAAAAAAGTTTGTTGCTTGAACCGTAGCAAAATATCAACAAGGAAGACGATGATGAAGAAGATGTAGAGGAGATGGTGATGGGTAAAATGGATGGAGGCTTTGTTGTGGTTGAAGAGACATCATCAATATATTGTTGAACAGCAATTTCGTGATGTTTTACAGCAAAAAAGAATGATTGCGAAAAATTCTCAGCTGATTCATCGACCCACAAGTTGACCTATTATGTACATCTTTGCTTTGTACATCGCATAAGTTAGTGAGGTGATTACGTCTTTGATGGTTCATAAAAAAGAAGTTGTAAATTGATTCTTTTACTGCTTTTTGCTTGTTCAAAAGGAAAATTCTTCTTCTACTGATCGTTCCTGTATACCGATGACGAAAAGGTTAATTGGTGATTACCATTATTTGTAAATTGACCTCTTCCTTCCATTCAGCCAACAGGTTTCCACTTGACTCTTAGGAGGAATTTTGTCAGATTTTCTATCTGGTGACTTGCAAGTTTAATTAAATAGGCTACTGATGACTGTTAAATCTACTTGTAGGATCAGAGTGCAGAGTCTGAAGCTTATGATCGATTTGTATTTGCTTCCATAATAAATCCTTATGTGCTGTCTTAAAAAATCCCCCAAAACTTCCGTAATGCAATTCACCGTACTCAGTAACTCATCATTTAATAAAACTTATTTATAATTTTTTATGTTCATATCTCTGATGAATGCTGAATCGCAAAATACGGTCAACATGCTATTGAGGCGCTTCACAGATGGGAGAGGTTGAAGCTATAGATGCCGTGTATTGCATAATACCTTTTATCGCATTCTTTTTAAAAACAAATTTATTTTATACCATTAATTTAATGTTTTTTCTCTCTCTTCCTTACATTCAATTTATGTACATTTAATAATATTATTGCATTTTCCATATACACAGCCAAGACTAGAACGAGTTTGGGATTTTTTTTTATTTTTGCTTAAACCTTTTTTTATTGTCTTCTTCTTAGTCTCTTCCATATGATGCGAAGATCTCATTTGTATGATAAAACTGTAACTTGTAACAATTTTTTTTTTTTGAGATAAATTTTATACATTCTACAATTTCATTCATGCCTATCATGAAGATATTTATAAATAAAAAATTAATTTTGTTCTTCTTGCCTTTATTCTTTTTAAATATTAAAATATTTAAATGGCAGTTTAATGATTTGAGAATGAGAGAGATAAAAGTTAAGGAGTTACGTTATGGAAATTTATATAAAAATAATCGAGGTGTTGTCACTGGTATCTAGGGTGTCCATGACAATAACTTCAGTTGTTCCTCAATTGTTGTGCCTCTGAAACCACAATTAAGAGAGTACAAACATTCCAAACCCCTGCATTTTTTTAAAAAATCCGTAACAATTTCCCAAATCCCTCAACTTCAGTTTATCACGTCATTTAATAACACAAAAAAATGTCAAAAATGTCTATCATAAGCATACAGACAGGAAGCAACAAAACCTGTCAAAAAAGTTTTATGACCCCATCATTCAAACCAGCATCCACACCTTGACAATTCTTCATCCATTCTTTCTTCAAAAGATGATGATACAATGCATTAAAAAAATTGAATAGTCAGCATAAAGCAATAGAAGTCTTGATTACCCGCTCTTTTCCTAGGCATAACTGCCGTTTTTTTTCCTCTTCATTTTGTTATATCTAGACTTGCAAATCGGATAATTCTAAATTAGCATACAAATCAACTAACTTCCATTCATGGTACGCATTTTTATTGCCTTTATAACAATAAACGACTGTGTTAACTGTGAACTAGGCGTCTCCATATCATTACCTATGCTAATTGATTGTTGAAATGAGAGAATGAAGAAGAAGTAAAAGGGAATATAAAATAAACGACATCAATGGCCCAGAAATAGCGTTTAAGCTATTTATTTTTTTATAATATGCGCAAATGAGATTGGGAAAACTTGATTAGCTTAAAATGCAGAAAAAAAATACTATAATTTTAGAAAACGAGGTCTGGAATTGTAGAAGGGCACAACCTTACATACACAAGTATTATAAAAATAGAAAAGGAAAAAAATGTGAGCTTTGACAAAATAGCTATAAACATGCCGGCAGCGATTGTAAAAATGCATTTCAAAAAATTTATTGCAAATAACTTTTTTTTTCTCCCCAGTCTTGTGTCTCATGCCATTTTTAATTGATCCAAAGCGGAATAGGTGAAGTTGTAAGGTTGACCCTGAAAAATAATAAATAAATAAATAAATGTTGAGATACTGAAATACGGCATCAAGCAGAGCGAAAGCATATTGATGATTGTTTTTTTCCTTCTTCTTTGCTCTTTCTTCCCCTTTTTTTTTTTTCAGCCTCAACATGACAATAAATTTAAGACGGAGATGAAATTCACCACGTGAAATGCATTGCAATAAATTTTTTGATCTTTTGTGGACAGACTCAATGCGGAATAATTTGAATGATTTCATTGAAGGCAGCAAAAAAGGGTGTCTGAATGGCAATTTCGAGAGAGTTTGCTACTTTTTCTTCTCATAAGGCATAAATGAGATTAATTTCTTCCTGTCATTGCACGGCTGCAATTGCCCATAAGTGGTTAAAGGCATTTAAGTCTTTTCTACCTTTTTTTGCATCTCTGTTTGGCGATTCAAGTGAAGCTTGTTCAAAATATTGTAATATTTTGGTTGAATTGTTCATTTGAAGCTAGTCTTTTGCATCTTTGAAGCTTATCTTTTGCATCATTTGGAGCTAGTCGATTGCATCTTTGAAAGCGAAAATTTCGCATCATTGAAGCAAATCTTTTGCGTTAATTAAAACTAGTCTTTTGCATCATTTGAAGCAAAACTTTTGCATCACTTGAAAATAGTATTTTGCATCTTCTAAAGCTTTTTGCATCTTTTGAATCTTTTGCATCACTACAAATCAATATTTTGTCATTTCTGAAACTTGTCACTTACATCTCTTGATGCAAATCTTTTGCATCTCTTGACGCAAATCTTTCGCATCTCTTGATGCAGATTTTTCGCATCATTTTAAGCAAAGCAAAATTAAATTACCTTTTTTTAAAATGATATTCACACAAGTGACTCCACATCCAATTCTCATCCAGATTCGAAAGCGTGGTCGCCCGAAAGCAAAAAAACGCGCCATATCATGTTATCGAAAATTATTTATGACCTTCATTGACACTTTTTCCCTCGCTTCTCATCTCCATTTATTGCCAATTTCTCTTTCGTTTATCGATTCTGTCGCTTTGTTGTTAATTTTAGTCAAAGCATCGAAATCAAAATATTTTACATTTCGATAATAATGGTTAAAAATTTATGAGTTTAAAGCGTTGGAAATTATTATTGCCCTGCAAAAGCAATCAGTAATATGTCTTTTGCATGCAAAATCATCATGTAAGAAAGAGTTTTCTCTCACTTTATGGCAAGCATGTTCATATGTATACGTATGTAAATGTGGCAATTCACGACTTTTTCTTCTCTTCTCAACTTCATTTGAGTGAACATTTAAGAAATGAAAAATAAAGTCGAGTGAATCGTGTGAAGATGAGTTTCCGCATAGCAGACATAACATTACATGAAATACCATCGTACTTCTTCTTCTTACTTCCAATCTTTTTTATATAAATTAACTTTATGGAGTCAACTGAGTAATATCAAACTCGATAATGAATATGATAAACGACCTTGTGTGGTTTAATGCACCTTTTTTGCGCTTTTAAAATAGCATTTAAAGCATCACACTCAGCATGACTTGCTCGTTCAATTTCACTTTTCAATATTGATTTACATTTACGGAAATTTATTTTCATTTTCAATTTCAATTCAAGCTTCATTATGAACTTTTTTTGTAATGGTAATTTTTGTCTGACTTATGCTGTAAAGTTTATGGGATGGTATGTAGATGGGAGTTGTAAATTGTTTGTGGATTTTAATTTAATTGAAAGTTTGTTTTGAATTGTTGGTTTGGTTTTTTGATAGTTTAGTTGCATTTAAGAGCTTTATATCTACTTAAGTGCCTAATTAGTTAAAGATATGATCAATTATCAAAAATATTGAATGTACGACTTAAAATCTGAATCTATTAGACTTAAGTGCATAGTATAGCTGAGCTAAGACAACATTAAGCTGTCTGAATTAAAACACGTATACTTAAAGCATCAATTCTATGATTTTAGTAAATATTTAATTATCTTACTAATATATTGTCCCTCCTAGGCTAATGATCATGTAAAAATACTTCATTAACACCTAAGAACCAAAGCAATTTGAAAATTCCACAAACAAAATCGACATAAAATCATTTTAAGGTCAAACACATACCGGAGATACATATTTTCGAATTTCTAGTGCACAAACAAAAGAAAATCGACAAAATAAAGAAAGAGCAACAACAATTTTCGATGATAGCTTTTCATGCACCTCGTAAAGTCTTGTTATTCCAATTAAGAAAGTCAAGATAGACATTAAATTATGTTGGCATGATCCATTTATGAATTTTCATAATCAAATTTTCACCTTTCACTAATTTTTATGTGATGCCGACATAGAAGAAATATGAGTATCAATAAACCTGCTCGTTTCTCTCTGAACTCCGATCTTTGAGCTCATTAATGTGAAATAATATTTTTATGAATCCATTAATGGATAATTTGTATCATAAAAATTATTTGAGTGAAGAAAAATGTTAATTTAGTGAAACGAGCTAGGCAAAATTGAGATGTTAAAAAATTTATAATGGATGTAAGATATTAAAGAAACATGTTCATTATCAATCTCGATTTCCCTTTTTCAAAATTGTTTGTTTACCTTTGAATTAGATTGACACCAATTAAAAGAAATTTTAATTTTTGAAGTTCATTTAAATATTTATGATGTTAAGGGATCGTTAGAAAGTGATGTAAAACTTAGTAGATTTAAACTAGCAGTAGAATTCTAGTAGACTAGTCTTTGTATAAAACCTATATCAATGTTCCTCAAAGTATAGTTCATAATATATCAAAACCAGTGTGCTCAAAAGCATCAGAGGCCGGGATTAATACAAGATTGAAAAGCAAAACTTTATCTCACTCTAAAAAGAAGAAGGAAGAGTCTTAGGCTTAGTGGCACTAAAATAAATATTTTGTATGATTTTAATGAGCAAATAATTGACGTCATATGTGGATGACCCCTTAAATCTGTCACAATCAGGAAAAATTTCAATATCCAAGGTTCCATCTGATGAAATCGTGTAAATTATTATTTTTTTTTGGATATTTATGCAGATTAATGCACATCACGAGATGTCATTGACTCACATTTTGAATTAATCATCTAGACTAGCCCTTTAAGCTTTCCAAATTTCCTAATCACAATAACAAGAAATCCAACAAAACCATCAAATCACAAATTAATCGAACAAAGAAAATCTTCAGAAATTTCCCAATCAAAAAAAGAGTCTTTAATTACCATAGAAACAAACACAAAAGCAGTGACAAAGCAACAAGTAACTAATCGACATCTCTGTCATTTTATTAATAGAAAACAAAGATTTCTCATTACAGCATGTAATGTGAACAGAAATAAAAAGGGAGAATCAACTGATTCTATTCCCCTGATTGTTGTTTCTAATTCATTTTAAAAAGCTTGAATGAATGAACATGTTGAAAAGAAGAAGAAGAAGAAGAAGGAAAATTTCAATGTCGATTGACAATAAAAACTGCCGGTAGACAATACACGACAACATTTCATTCATTTTACTTCCATTTAAGTGAGAGAGTAAGAACATTGAATGCAGAAATAGAAGAGGAATTGAGAAGAAGTTTCCACGGTTTCTCGACTGTATAAATGTTCAATGCTGGAAGAATTAATGATTAAAGTGCAAATAGACAACATGCATTTTGATGTGTTGTTGATAAAGAACAGCCTGTGTAGCCTCATAAAATGAATACGAATCTTAAAAGGTAGTGTCTAACATGTTAATGCTGCTTCTATCTTCCTCTTTTTCCCCTCTCATTCCATCTTCTTGCCTATTAATTTAATCAATGTTCAATTTATTCGCCCACACATACGAAATAACAATTGACAATCCTCAAGTTAGTTATAATTAATAATTCTTATGAGAATCACATGAAAATAAAATAAAATAAAGAACAAAGAAAAAAAATCATTAATCATCCAAAGCTGTACGGCTGTCAAATGGGCAGATTTCAAATTATTCACAGAATTTTAATTAAATTCACTTCTTGTGACTTCGCAAAAAAAAGCATGTGTGCTGGAGGTACGAAAAATAAAACTGAGGGAGAAAGGAAAGGGAATGGCTTGATGTGACAGCTCATTGCAAACAGCACATCAATGATTTTTTATTAACATAAATTTATATGCAAAAATATGTGGAACAAGAAGAAAAATTAAGATTGAATTGATTCTATCTAGGGCTATTAGTTACCATAACAGTAACAAGTCTACCCTATATATGAATGCTACTGCTTGACAAAGTTTAAGTTCGTTCAGAATTTGGGGAATGTAGCGCAGCTACTAGATGCATGCTAAACTTGCATATGCCCGAATGGCACAAGTCAGTTAATCGATCAGAAATCCAGCATCAAGCCGATGTGACTCTGGCATGGTGTTGGATTTAAATCGAAGCCAGCACCATGTTAGAGTCATACCAGCTGGGCACCGGATTTCTATTCAATTAAACGACTTGTGCTTTTCGGAATGATCCACGACTTGATCTGTATCTTCTTAAAAACTATCACAGAACTAGACCAGCAACTTAGTCCACAAACAACACGAATAAGAATTCACCAATATTAAGCATAACAAACACTCATCAGCCCACCCAAAGTGCCAGCCACACAACCACCATTCACATCAAAAAGCCCTGCTAAAGCTGCATATTTTACAATTGTACATTTGAATGCAGCACAATTGATTACAACCTTGACAATGGTGGAGAACTAGAGAGACGGAAATAAAGCAAAACAAAAAATTATCAAAGATGTAAATTCAATGGAATGAATTAAACTAGGAAGTCTTACACAAAAAAAAAATAAATTCTCCTCACAATTGTGCTATCACACACAAAATGTGTTCTGGAATTTATTTTTTTCTTCTTTCTCTCAGATGCTGTTGTTGTGGTGCATAGCTTGCAATTTATTCATTCATTCAACTTTCTTCTGAGAAATGAAAAAAAAAAAACGAAAAATAAAAATAAGATTTGCTGCAAATGCCATTGAAAATTTCCCATTAAACTGTCGCCTCAATTTCTTTCTCTTTTCAGTGCTGCTTCTTTAAATATGAATCTCAATTTGGTGAAATTACAATGGTGCAATTGCATTGTCGCCATATGTGCACGATTTATAAAATATAAATATTTTTATTTACAACTTGTATCTTCACCATAACATCGGGTCACATGAGATAAGGTGAAGCTCTTCACATTGCATTTATATGTAAAACATAAATTGCATAAATTATGATCAGATTAATGTGGCAAGCTATGCTGAAAAAAAGCATATCTTCATGTGTACCAGATACATTTTAATTAACCGAAAATAAAGCTGTTGCAAGACTATTGTGAGATGATCAGCATGAAATTTATGGATATGTGTGGTATGCAGGCTTTCGTTAGTCTTATAATTAAATTGCATGGAATCTCTTTTTTGTTGTGTGTGATATATGGTTGGTTTGGGGCTTAATGTGACGCTGATCTATAAAATTAACTATTTGCATATTAAATGGGAGATTTGAATAAGTTTGTAGGCATTACTTAGGCTGAGATTAAGCATAAATTGTGAGAAAATGAATTTTAATAGCATTAATTTGATTTTGAATTTTCTAATTTTAAAAATCGAGATAGCTGCTTAAAATAGCTCAATATCTTCTCTAATATTGATGATCCCAACCCATCCCAATAGATGTGGAACTGATCAACCTTCGTCATAAACAATTTTGATCAAATTTGATAAAGTTTCATCAGTTCCAAACCCCTGCTCACTTTACGCCCCAGCAAACCT